AAAAATTGGCCCAGATGGTAAGAAAAAAAGAAAACAACAAAAAAACCCACCAAAAAACATTGAAGGAGAGGAAATATGGTCCATCTCCCAGCTGGGGGTCTGAAACCTACCATGGAAGTAGCTCTAGCTACTCAGTGGCACAGATAAAAGCATGGAGCGCAAATGGCTCATGAGCACACCAGAATAAAGCCATCATCATAAAGCACAAGTCACTACTTCAGCCATTTGCCCTGTTAGCAGTCTCTTCTAATGATTATTGTACCATGCTATATGAGCAGGGGTGAGGGAAGCTGGTTCTGTCACTGCCTCTTTGCAACCCAGTCTACAGACTACACTCCAGAAACATCAGTCTACTTTGGTACTCCTTCACTCAAGGTTAAGAGTAGGGAAAAATGGAAGGGCATTAGTGCAAGAGGGACGGGTCTGCTCTGGCATCCCTGGTACCTCACCTAGAACACGCGTGTGGGAGAGAGACCAACTTCAATCTTACTCATTCAACTCAAAATACTCTGTGCTTTAAATTACTGGTCTTGAACTTGTTCTGCTAATTTTGATATCCTTCATTTTAAGTCAAGGAAGAAAAAAAAAAAAAGATTATAGCTAGTGAGTAAGCCTCACTCAATGTGATTATAGAACTAAGTTATCAAAAGCTCTTCCTGCGACAGTGTTAAACTAATGAACAAAAGAACAAAATCACCATGACTCCCTTTCCCTCTAATCCTTCCCTTCTCTAAATGTGATTCACAGAAAGAGAGTAGAGGCGTATATGCATTGCATGGAAAGTGAACTTGGAATAAAAACATAACTTACTGTGCAAAAAGAACAAAACCCCTGTATATCACTTCTCTCCCAGAAAATAAAACAAGCGGCAATTACCAATGACAGTGGAAGGTTAGAGGATTGCTCTGCTTCTCAACCGGCTCTTTGAAAAGCATGCAGACTGGCAGCATATGAAGATAAACACAGAAGAAGACAGATGAACACGGGCTGCCCGTTCAAATGGAAAACTTGTTTTAAAACCAGGTGGATATTACGACCCAGAAATTTACAAATAAATAATCCCTCTAAAAAGTCAATCAATAGTCACCAGATAGACTTAACTGTTTCAACAACCCCCCCAAAAAAGCTGTCTGGAAAAGTATTTTATACTCCACTTTCACTAGTCATTGCTTCAGGTTACTGATTTTTTATGCACAAATGGCCTCCATTAATACACACTTGTGTTAGCCTGGCAATTTCTCGTGGAAAGCTTGACCCTCAGTGTTACTCAGCTTCATGAGGCACTGGGTAACGAGCAGTATTTTCTGTGATCTAGCTTGCCATACATACACAATTCCTATTAGCTAGATTGCTGAAGCCTATTTTTCATGCATTCGCTCTGCACAGAAAATGTCATTGTTTGACTAGATAGATAAGAACATAAATAACTTAAAGAATCCGTAAAGCTGTTCATAGGACAACAGTTTAAATACATGCTGCATCTCAGGTAACTTGAAGTCTTTAACTACCATGTTTTCATCTTGTAACATAGTGAAGAACAGTAACAGGATGGAGTTCACACCAGCTGCAAGTTGCTTCATCAACTTTGTGGGTTAACTTCTAATTCTGATACCTTACCTTCTCAAATTTGCACAGTTTAAGCAACAGTTTGGTATGTCAAAATTGTGTACTATACCTAAGTATCAACTGCAGTATATTAATGTTCGTTTCCTTCATCTTAGATTAAGAAACAAATTCTGATAATAGGGTGAAAGCCCGGATTTATTGAATGGGATGCTGGACTGATTAGAAATTCTATAAAGACTGAAGAATAAAGAACAAATCTTAAATGGCAAGAAGAATGGAAATCGCATATTCAAATAGTGTCAGTACATCTATTTCTACCTTTTTAATACGTATTAATACTGGCTAGTGTGCAGAACAGACCTTCTCAAACAAATTTAAGGGCAGGAAGTGTCTGGAGGTTTTTTTTATTTATTTTTTTTGTTTTTTAACATAAGTACAAGAACTGATACAATTCAAAATGAAACGTATTAAAACTGAATGTATGCCCCCATAGCTTCCAGTAATTCCTTCTTCTGAGGAATCTTGATTCCTACAGTGTAAAAACCATTTAAACAGAGCTACACAACAGCAGCTAAAAATTAAAGTTGTATCATCATTTCTACTAACAATTTAAATCCTTGTCCTGTTAAACAACAGTAGCGAACATACAAATGTGTCTATAAATATCCAATGTTCATCTCTACCACCAGTGCTTCTCCTTCACCTTTCAGAAACAGCAGTTCCAAGTGAGTTGCATATGAATGGAAAAGCTTAACGGCCCAGTCCTGGGACAAAAGTTAAAAAAAGCAAAAACATATTGGCACATCAAGCTTTCTTGAATATTGATTAGACTGAATAACTTTGCAAAGTTTACACTAGCAAATAATACCAATATTTAACTGAGGATGATCTAGAGATCATCAAGAATAATTGAAGAGAACATCAAACATTCCATTTATATATCTCAGAGGCACCGAAATATTCTACAAACACAAAGAAATGCAAATTTTCCATTGTGACCATTTGAGTTGACTGAAATGGAAAGACAAAATATATTCAAGTAACTCCTCCTTTTGCTACCATTTCCATTGTGTAAATCTAGGCCTGTTCTATTGACTCCAATATTCCCTATTTACATATGTAGGAGACCACAGTTATCTCATAAAATAGAAATAGCCCATTAATAGAACCAGACTCCCCTGGCAAAAAAGTTCTGTTGAAGAGCCTGATGCATTTCTAAATAATAGAAAATCTTCAAGTTACACATATACTGCCCCCTCCCATTACTTGCACTGAAATTCATTTTAAAGAACATTTAATACAACTAGCGTACAAGAGCCTGAACTTCCACCAGACTCAGTACAATAGCAACCCTATCTAACAGACAGGAACAGGAAGGAAGCCTTCTCCTTCCCCACAAGGCACACCACCACTTCATAACTTCATCAGGCAACCAGGAGTAGAACTGCACCTTCAACATCCAGGTAAATGGCAAAGATAAAAAAACAACAAAACACAAAAAGATGCTATACGCACTTTTTGAAGATCCTGGCTGAAGTCTCGCTGTTTTCCAGGAGGAATCCACATGACTTACCTTTCCAGACCATTTTGAAACCCACTTCCTCCTGTGAGCAGTTCTAAACTTCCAGCGAGGCCTGACACTGGGAGCTGGCTACTATGCTGCCCATATCACCCCAACTCATATTAAACCACCTCTACTCTGCATGGTTTCCAGTTGCCAGCTCTAAAAAGCAGCAAGGAATCCCCAGTTACAGACACAGGAACCTGAATTCCTGACACTTAATCATTAGCAATGGTTTAACAAGGTGACCATAACACTCAGAAGCTGTGAAGCTCAGCATATTAGAAACAAACCCAACAGTATCAATAACCTTGTCAGAGATTTCTTGGACATGTAACTAAAAAGATTCAAAGTAGTTTTTGTTTTGGTGTTGTTTTGTGGTTTTTTTTTTACACAACAGGTTTGTAATGTGCTATGCTTAGCAAGTCTAAACTGAATGACTGCACAAGTAGTGCAAGAATCAGAAACTGGATGTCCAACTGACAGAAACAAATATGCAGGAAATCCAAGCCAAATCTTGTGGCTGCAAGACGAAATATTTCTTATGGACCAAAAGGAGACATTCTGGATTCCAAAACTGCCCAGAACTAGAGGTGGCATTACAGCCTGTAAATCTCTGTCTGTAGTACTCTTCTTATACAGCCTGTATCGAAGTACACATGCTGAGAGGCCTTTCCAGTATCCGTCTGATAAAACGATTCTGGGAGAAAGAGGAGACCAATGCAGATTATGACTGACTCAGAAAAGCAGGCTTTTTGGCCTTCAGCAGAAACAGACTGTCAGCACATATTAAACAGCTTGTCACACATGCCATCAGTTCAGCCACATCTCAAACTTGTAGGGGAAGGGTTGCATATATGACAGTGCCGTAGCACCAATACTGCTTGGACCTTGCTGGTACCACTAAAACTCTACCACAAATAATAACGAAAAGCAGCACCTTGGGAGATGCAGGTGATTGAAGCAGATTCTAAGAGTCTTTTCTGGTCTTGAAGTTTAGATAGATAATAAAATAAATTATTGAAGCCTACTGTTAGGCTTACTACAACAGTCATCATATGCTCCTTTGTTCCCTGTCTCAGAGTGGGGAGGAAGAAGAAGACTGTCACCTTAAATAACAGAAGTGGGGAGAGAATAGAGCTGAAGTCATCTCCTCTCTCCAGGCAGGAACAAAGGCCATATGAGGATAAGCAGATGGGATGTCTGAAAGCTGATTATCTGTCCCCTAAAGGAAGACTTTAGGGTTTTGTTCAATTATTTTATCAGAGATCTTAATAGTAATTGGCCAAGAACATCCAGTGTTTTGAGATGAAGCATATCAAAATGCCAAGCAGCACAATACCACTTAATTGATCATCCAGTTTTAACTGAACATTCTAGCAAATAGTATCCAATTTTTCATCTTAGCACGCAGCTAGTAGTTCAGTAGAAGCCAACCTAGAACACTTCTCAGTAGTTTCACATGGATTCCACATCTTTGTCAACAAGGTTTAAATGAAAACCTCAAACCATAATTCAGTACACAGAACCTGACCATTTTGTACCGATGTAAATATTACACACAATATATACAAGTTATTCCTGGTTTCTTTAAAACAGGAATTCTATTAACATTAATTACCATCATTGGCCTGGTTGAGTCAGCTTTTAAAAAGAAGAGAAAGAATAAAAATCTCAGCACATACCAAATTACATATTTTCATTTAACAAGGGCAACAATAACCCCAAACTGTTCTAGTCTTCAAAGAAACCCAGGAAACAAAGTTTCGCTTTGACAGTGGGAAAGTTGAAATAAGACTGAAAGTAAAACTTTCTCTGTGCTCTCATCCATAAGAACTCAGAGCTCACCTAGCCAATGGAAAAGCCTACTTACGGTCATTACACTGGCTCCCAGAATATGAAGTCATGGAGCAATCACAGGTGAAGCCTTCCCATTGCTGATTACAGATGCCTTGATTCGCACAGGAGTCTTCCTGGCAGGTAGTGCTCGGTCCTGGAGAAGGGATGATAAAAAATGTTGAAACAAAGGTGAGAGAGTAATTTTAGTCAGGCCTCCAAAAATTTTGCTTCACTATTAACATTACTGCTAAGATCCTCATGCAGAATAGGAAAAGCACTAAAACCAAACACTTTTCCATTCTTGGGCATGCAAGAAACTAAGGTAAAAAGAGCACAAAAAGACAACTGCACACTCCATGAAAATACGGCAAACTGTAACACAGAGCAAGGAGGAAGAATGAACACCAACATATTCCCTCTTAGGCAGGCCCAACTTAAAGTAGTTACTCAAGGAAATTTACTGTAAAATATGGTGTGGTGCAAGGATAACAAACGCTGCCAGGATGTCGTGCTTCCCTGGAAGTTTGATGTCCTTGCAGCAAAGAAGACTAAAAAATGAGCCCATCCATGACCTATGCTTCATCCTACCCAAAACCCCCTGATACATGGATTCAGACCAAAACTCTGAAGCCTCAGCTGGCTACAACTTTTGTTTTTAAGTAAAGAAAACAAACAAAGACCCTGACCCGTCCCATTAAACAAGTTCCTCTGGAAACATGTCGATAAAATCATCAGAAAGGCATGACATTTTTCCACAACACTTCTCTATTCTGAACTGGTTTTCACAGCCTTTGAGGGAAGAAAAGAAGGAAGCAGCTACTACTAACAGAACAGCCTTTCATGGTTCTGTGATTTGGAGCCAACAGTTGCTACCCTTACTCAGTTAAACCTTGCAAAGACACAACCCAAGCAACAGGCAAAAAAGTGATCTTCAGATCAGAGGGAATCTGAATGACAGCTAGTATGTCATCCACAAGGAGGGAGCTGAATTCTAAGTCACCTGAGAGCAGATGTGACGCTGCAAGCCACAGATTATAAGAATGTGAGTTTAAAAGTTACTCCCTAGGAAAGTGCTTTATCTTCAGCATTTCAGACAAATGTATGCTGCTCCTATTGTGCAGTACTTCAAAGAAAACATACAGCTATAGTTAACATATTGATCATTCTATATCCTGCACTCAATGTTAAAGAAGAAACAAAAGAAATAGAGTAGATAACAGAGGATCAACTGGCTAGGCTGCCACACACCAAAGTAGAGACAGTGTTTTCGTATGTTTTAATCCAAAATGGAAACTCTCACCTCCATCTGACACTCTCCACAGTAATTCGACTGAATCTCATACAGCATCTCTGATATTAAGATTGTGCATCTGGGCACCTCCATATTCATGAGCCTTTGGCATGCCATGATCCTCCAAGCAATTCAAAAATCTTTAAAGCTTTGGTACAGAGTTCCTATGACTATATATAAGGAAGAAATTTTCTACAATGAAGGTGGTGAAATACTGGAACAGCTTGCCCAGAGAGATGGTAGAAGTCCCATTCCTGGAAATATTCAAGGTTCAGGTTGGAAGGGACTCTGAGCAACCAGATCTAGTTAAAGATGTCTCTGCTCACTGCAGGGGATTTGGACTAGATGATTTTAAAGGTCCCTTTCAACCCAAAGCATTCTGTGATTCTACGATCACCTTTTCCCACTGCAAGAACAGAATGGGTGAATTTCCGCAGCTTTTTAGCTGTGTTTCTTTACATCTCTCCTGCATCAAGAAGGAGCATGTGACTACCAGTATGCAGAGAGTTTAACTGAACATTAATGAAAATCTGAGTTTCTTCCATGTCTGTTATACTGTTAAAAAAACAAACAAAAAAAACTCAAACCAAAAAAAACCCAAACACCAAATCAAGCATCCAAAATCTCTAGACAGAAGCATAAATGTGGATAACAGACAACAAAATTCCTGAAAGAAAAGTCACTTATTGAAAAGAGACCCTAGCAGCAGCCACAGCAAGAAAACTGTGTGTTACCACACTAAAAGTTGAGCAGCATTTTTTCAACGTTTTTCTTCTCTCTTCCACCCCTTCTCCCCACCCACCTCACTCATTTGCAGCTGTATAAATCCCAGTGGTCTCAGTGCCACAGTGTGAAGTCAACAGATCACTTCTAGGATTTCAACAGTGCTGACAGACTTGATGGTGTGGGCTGGCAGGCACATGTATGGACACGATTCCCTCCTGCCTTTATACTTACGAAAGACACGGACGTAACTATATAGACACACATGCATCAGGCTGGGATCTGACACTTGCTTCAGATTTCCTCTGGCCCAGCAGAAGAAGAGATGACATTCAACAAACTGAAATACAATATTAGTTGTCATTTTGCCTAAAATGCCTGAGTTATCTGAGGATAAGGAATAAGGAACTGATACCTCTCCTGTATCTTACTATCTCACTATCTAATCCTAAACATGAATGGCAATGCTGCTAGCGGTATAAACAAGTTATATATATTTAAAAAATAAAACCAGAAAGCAATTGTAGTGCTATGCAAACTTGCTACAATATGAACTGTAAACACCATTATGTAGAAGTAAAACAGAGCAGCATTTTCAGTGACAGTATTTCTCCTCTCTTCCCACACTCCTTGAGAACATTTTAACAGTAACTGGACTTGACAATGCACATCATCTAATGGGGATGTCCTTTGTCTAGGTGCCATAAAAAGAGAGGACCAGTACTCCACTCAAGTAACAAGACTGCACGAGGCCCAGCACCTGTGATTGAGGTGCTTGTATGAGAAAGGACCTGAATTCATAACCAATATTGTGGTTTCTGAATTGTATTTTACAGAAATCAACTGTGAAGATGGAAACAGCACTTTCAAGGCAGCCAGAGGAAAAACCACAACAAATCCACAATGATGAGGAATTTTGAAAGCCTGACAATACCACAAGGAAGCTCAAAGCCTGATCTCCCATTTACAGTCACTTGTGACAGCACAGCATAGATGCTGGGTATTATGTTTTGTCTCACTCCTTAGTACTATGGGCTATTTGCATCGTAAAAGCATCTTTGTCTCGGAGTTCATCTACTCCTGCTGCTTACAGTCCTTGGCTGATGTCATAATCCTCCATCTGTGGCAACAGAATTTTGTTCAGAGCAACTAACAGGGATGTCACAGAAGATTAGGATTTTGGATTAGGGAGAAAAGTGACAGAAGCACAGGAAGGCTTATAAAATATGAAGATTGTGTTACCACACACACTGCCCTTTAGTGATAATGAACAAGGAAAGAGAAGACAACAAACAATTTATATATACAGCTCTAGAATTGGTTCTAAATTATCTGTGTCATCAGGGTTCAGGTCTATTTTTAATCTCATTCCTTTGGCAGCATTTACAGCCGTCAAAAGCAAGGTTTCAGAAGTAGTCTTAACATAATAATCTGAGATACAGTTAAAAAAAAAAAAACAAAACACACTATCCTTTAATTTTCTCCTTAAATTTCCAACACCCTGACAACACTTGCTATTTCTGTTGAGTGTATTTTTGTTCAAAGGCTTTGCTTCTGTTGTCTGTTTGTAGCTGGACTTAATGCATTGTCTTCTTCATGTCACATGCAGAATGGAGAGGGCAAGAGATACAGAATAAAAGTGGAGAAGTGCCCATTGCAGAAGAGCATTCCCCCTAGCAGAATTGTGACTTGCTCTGTCTCCTCCTGTCCAGACTAAGCCTACCAAGAGAAGTGGCTCCTTATATATATGTATAAGATGGCAAAGCAGAGTTTTTCAACAATGTCCATTTGATCTTTATTTATGCATCTCTAGTTTTTACTGAAACAGCTCAGTATCTGAGAACTTGCAGGATCTGTGATCTTGTTAGGTCTCCCTCCTTAGGAAGAAGTCCAATATTACACTTTTCTTCCAAATTGTCTAGCTAAAGGTATGGTTTATTTATCAGCTTTGCTACTACGTATTTGAAGAAAATCACTTTAGGCAAGTGCAGTAGCCAAATCTCTTATCCTTATTCTGTTTGGGAAAATTACTTTGTCTCCCTAACCCCTTCCTGCAGTTTCAGCTGTATGGATATATTTCTCTTTGCCTTAAAACTAAACAATTTTGAATTTCACTGCTGTGTGTTGCTAAAACTTCCATGTTTCATCCCACAGGTGGGTGTGTTTCACTGGCAAGAGAAGTCATTCTATTGTGTCATTTGAAACCTCTTTGCAGAGAAATGAACTTCAGGAATTAAAGATAGCATTATATTTATTATTCTTCCGAGGTACAGGAGGAATTGTTTTCTTTATACAACAGTCACCGGATTGGAACACAACTGTCTTGCACTTTGATCATAACTAGCAATAAGCAGAAAGCTAAACAAACCATTCTTGATCTTGTACATAACACCTTCACATATTAAAATTCACTCCTATAAAAAGGAATCTACTATTTGTGTTAGCTATCTTTCAGTAAGATGAAGATCTGTATTCGGCAAGGTTTAATAGCACCAGGGGTCCGTTTTCACTCTCCATCTCTCATTCTCCCATTTTTCACATACGATAAATCTATAATTGACTTCTGTCGGCACTTCTCTTTAATAACCAGTGACTGTCTGTTTTTTGGGTTTTTTTCAATTCAATATGCAGGCCAAGTACAGCTCAGATAGGCATCATGTCTTGGAAATCACATGCACCAGGCAGAATACAAACCTGTTTCAGGACTCACTATTAGGGCAGGTTAAGGAAGAAATGAAGTTAATCTAGTGGTTTCCATTTATAGAATAATTTGAAAAAAACCCTATTTTTTTGAGCAAAAGTGAGCAAAATTGAGACTGAATCTTATGGGACCAACACTTCACTGGATGAACCGCATCTCATATGCTGTAACTATCAAATACCAACAGTGGTATGTTGGCATCTATTTTGCACAAATGTAAAAAACTAAAGTACTAAAGTTCAGTGCATGATTCAGAAAGTTAGAGTCTCTATTGAGTCACAGGTGGTAGAAGCAGGAATATTATAGAGCACCTTTTATTTAGCAACCTAGAACCAAAAAAAACCAAAAAGGATTTTCAAGGACTGCAAGGCCAGCTCTTAGAGCACGCTCAGTTCCAGATTTTGTTAAGGACTCACCATGCCTTTCATCACCTAAATAAGGTTAGACATCTGGCAGGTTCCGTATTTAAAGATATCCATTGTCAGAAATAACTGAAAAGCCGGAATTCTGCAGTTTTCTGAAAATACAATCATTTATTCCAGTGCCTCAACAGAACCTGAACTCTTCATTTACCTGAAGTCAGTTATGACACCAAGTCCTGTTCCAAATACATGCCTAGTCTAAAATTTTCAGAGACTGGAACTAGTTAAAATAACAAACATGCCAGTCTCCCACTGAAAGCACTTTTACCTCAAAATGACAAGAGAAGAGAACCAGCAGCAGTAGCAATCCACAGAGGATGGTTCTACAAGGTGATGGGGTTTCTTTCCCTGCATGAAATCTACTATATACCTCTCTTCCTCCCTCTTGCCACCATGTCACTCTTCATCTCTAAGAAACCTAAAAGGTCTCAAGCAAAGTTCTCATAAACATGCTAGCAAGAGAGGAAAAATCTAAAAATCCCCAAACCAAAAAATCCCCAACCGTACAATTAAGTCAACTGCATAAAAGGGAGTATGCCTGGACCTGAGATACAATGAGGGACACAGACATGCAAATGAAGAAGAGGAAGAAAATGGTATTCAGGTATTCAGACACAGAAAGTAAGAGCGGAAAGGAAAAACTCAAAGGTTTGTATATGAACACAAAAAAACCCAAACAACCAGTTAATTGGAAAAATACCCTTCCCCACTACAAATCACAGCAGTACAGGCTTCATGGCCTACTCTGAAATAGCCAAATCTATTCAGCAAAGGTTGGTTTCCTGAAAAGTCAATAACCCATATTATGTACTCAAGAAAAATGTTTCCCCTTAGGCTTCAATGTCTCCATCTAAAGGGCAAATATTCCTACAGGGTGTCACAATATGAGCCTGAGCTGGAATAATTCACAACTATGACAAGCCTTTAGCTTCTCAGGTCCTTGGATGAGTTAAACCAAAAACTGAATCTGTTTGTTCCAGAAACTCTTCTTCATGCTGCATCCCCTTCAACGAACATCAAAAGTTAAGGAGGAATTCCTGGGCACGTATTTGAATTGTGATGAATGCACAAGTGACTAGAGAGAACAGGGGCTGCAGCCAGAGAGACAGGCCACTTGTTGATGTCTAACACAAGTCCCAAATTCCCTCCCATAGTTTGAATGGATAGCATAGAACAGCTTAATTCTAAAACTATTTACACCTCAGCACACTTTCAGGATGCTTTTTCTCTTCATATTGGCCCTCGCCCATATATCCTTCCTATTTTTTCAAGTCTCATTCTTTACTACTTTCATTTCTACAAATTTCAGGACTCCCTTATAGAGGCAGCACTTCACAGAACCATGGAATAGAATTGTTTAGTTTGGAAAAGACCTTTAAGATCATTGAGTCCAACTAATAACCTAGCACTGCTCAGTCCACCTCTAAACCATGTCCCTAAGCACCACATCTGCATGTCCTTTAAACACCGCCAGGGATGGTGTCTCCACCACTTCCCCGGGGAACCTGTTCCAGTGCTTGGCAACCATTTCAGTGAAGAAATTTTTCCTAATGTCCAATCTAAACCTTTCCTGGTGCAACTTGAGGCTATTTGTACACGTCTTGTCCCTTCTTGTTAGTGAGAACAGACCAACACCCACCTCATTAGAACCTCCTTGTGGGTAGTTGTAAGAAGTGATAAGGTCTCCCCTCAGTCTTCTTTTCTCAAGGTCAAACACAAGCCAACACCTCAATGTACTTCTTTTAGTGAGGGTCCCAAAACTGAACACAGTATTTGAGGTGCAGTCCCACCAGGGCTGAGTATAGTGGAAAAATCATTGTCCTAATCCTGCTAGCCACACTATTTCTGATACTGGCCAGGATTTTATCATCCATTTTGGCCAACTGGGCAAATTAGTGGCTCAAATTCAGGCAGCTCTCAGCCAACAGCCCCAGGTGCTTTCTGCCACATAGCTTTCCGGACACTCTTCTGCAAGCCTGTAGCACTGCAACTGGGGTTGTTCTGAGCAAGTGTAGGAGGTTCAAGAAAGCCAAGTACCAGGTCCTACAACTGACCATGGCCAATACTCTTTAAATCCCTATCTCTGTAAGAATGAGTACTTGAACTTTTTACATCAGGGAATATAGGCCAGTGATGCCAACAAAACATGGTCACAGTCAGATGCTCCACATGCACAGAGCACAAGACAACACACTAAATTTTCCTACCTCTAGGCTGTCAAATATTTCAGATTCAATGTTTTATACACATCTAGTGTGTCCTGGTTTGAGCTAGAACAGAAACAATTCTCCATTCAGTAACTTTACTTTTCAGCTAAGTCTCTTTTAAGAGACTGAACTGTCTGCAGATCACAGCATATTTTTTCAGAGTCTGTTACTAGAAGTGATAATGGCTAATGTTTATAGTTACTGCCAGGGACTGATATATGCAGAAAGGTTCTTGCTTATAGTTGCTCCTAGAGAAGCCAAAGTCACTGCTAAATCTAGTGTACCACATTGGAATGCTGTAAGTAAAAATGTAAGTAAAAAGGCCACATTTCCAGGGAGGAGCAGACAGAACAGGTGACCCAAACCTGACCAACAAAGTATTCCATTCCATGTACATCATACTCAGCATGAAGCTGAAGTAGCACAAGGGTCAAGCCCTCTTCTGTCCATTCTACCGCCTTCAAACCCAATTTGTGTGTTCCTGAATCCAGTTCCTGAACTCAATTCCCATCTGCCACTTGCTCCAGCCTGGTATTCACCCAGTGTCTGCCCTGCAGCATCAGTGATGACATGATCATCATTGGGAGATTTCAATATTGGTTTTGTATACATTTCACTATTTTCTTATTAATATTATTACATGCTATTTTTCTTGTTACTGTTTCATTAAACCTGGTTTAGCTCTTTTTTTTTTGTTCTGTTTTGTGGGGCTTTTTTCCCAACCCATATGTCCCTCTCACTTATTTCCTTTTCTTTCTGGGTACGGAGAGCAGTTAATAGGGAGCATCTGTCATTCATTCAGTGGCCAGCCCAGTCTTAACCCTTGACACAAGAGCTAAAATAATCTCAGGCTGTCCACATCTCTGTTGCATGAGAGGGCTCCTCCTACTATGCTTCTGTCTATTAACAACCGCTGCAGTGATAAACTCTTTACCTATTAAAATTTCCTTAGTTCCTCCAAATACAGTTTTATCCTTTTCTACTGAGCTGTAGAATGCCAAACCCTATCTAAAAACACAAATGAAATTCTGAAACAAAGGTAATTGCTACCTGCCTATACCTGGAAAAGGAATATTTGAAAACTGCATCTATTGCACTAGATCAGCTCAGCAATGTCACCAGTCTTCACGGTAAAAATGGTGAACACAGAAGGAGTTTATGAAGCATATAATTAAAGCTACAAAAACTTAATTCCAATGATATGTGAAATGTTGGGAAGTCTTGTCTTTATCTCACACTGAAACAGGAACACTGCATGTTTTTTCCCATAACAAAACCTTAGATGAATCCTGTGGCTTAGACACAAAATTTCAAGGTGATCAAGCTGATATTATAACAGATACCATCTGCGGCTTCAGGACTGTTAAACAGAGATTTCCTGCTTCTGACTTCCACTCATACCTGATACCATTCTCTCCTCTTCCATTAACAAGGAGGAGCATTTTCTTAGGCTTCCACCACATTCAGGAGCAATTAATTTGTGCTCTATACTGCAGTCTCTCTAGATGAGTTGGGAATCAGACTTTGATTATCATGTTTAAAGGGATAGACTTTCAATACTATGGAAAACATCTCTCTAGTTATACTAGTATCAAAGCCCTGCTAATTTCTAATAAGCAGGTTTTCTCACTTATGTCTCAGGGAAATAGGGTATTTGTATGTAATTGTACCATTAATCCTTCCTACATTATAAGTCTCCTAAGAATTAGCCTTAATCAAAGTGGTTTTCTGTCAGCACTCTTTACCCCATCACCTCTCAAATTCAATTACTAATTGGTCTCTTCTCTTTGAGCCATCTTCATTGGTTTCTCCCAATTTCCCTCTTCTTTTCTACTGAAGCTACTCTCAGCCTTTTTAATGGCTTGCACTTGAGTAGCTTTAGTATTTTAACACCATCCATGTAGTTGTCAGCCTTCTGGCAACCTCGAATATTATTGATTGATCCGTTTTTACTTAGCAGGCAATAGTAATAAAAGATGTCACTAAGAATATTACGTGAGGCTCAACATCACGGAAAGCCATATCTGCTTTGTGAAAAATCCGAGACCATCCAGTAAGAGGTTCAAGAAAGACTTACGAGACATAAAAATTATCAGGTACAAAAAAGGATCAGTCATAACCACTCACATGTTTGATCAGTTATGGTTTGTAAAATGCCATCTAACTACAAAGGGAATTTGTAGTTGACAATTTTGGGGATTTCATTAAAAAAAAAAAAAAGGATTTCTGTGGAAGCTTTTTTCAAAGTCTGAGATAAAAAAAGGTAGCTTTTATCTCCTATTCTCACTCCTTAAGATTAGTACTGAAGAATCCAAGTCAGCTTTCTATTTTATAAAGCTCTAAGGGCCTTCTATCTCTGTATACATAGCAGCTATTTGCCTGAACAATCATTAGACGTTTCAGGAAATCAACCTGTGCTCTTATGGATATTCAGAGATTGATACAGTCAAACCCTCCAGGTCATCAACAAAACCTCCATTGGTAACCTTGTCTTTCTTCAACACAAATATCCCCTCCAGAGGGGCTTGGGTTTGTCATTCTGTTCCTGTTACAGAGGTGTGACTGCATCCGGTAAAAGGTACCAAATGTTACATAAAAGTATCTTTCAGTTCAAACCAGTAATGGGGAAGAAGAACCTTCTCTACCTTGCAGGTCAGCTTTGGTCAACTCAACTTTGTTAGCAAAAAAATAAAACAAAAAAAAACAAACAAAAAAAAAGCAAAAACAATAAACAACAGGTTAGTATAAAGGCAGATAAACCAGGATCACATCACTTAAATAAAAGAAATTGGTATAACCATCACAGCCAACATTCCATAACCAATACATGCAGGAATGACAACATAAGCAACAAGGACACAGACACCTTAACCCAACCAAGTAACAGGTAACAAAACCACACACAAGAGAGAAAACACATTTCATTCACACACACACACAAGGTGACAGAATTTACAGATAGTAGGAGGAGAGGGGGAAAAAAAAAATCACATTCTTAATAATCATCTCTCAGCATTTACCAACAATTTAAGACAGGATTTGTCTCATTTGAGAAATACTTAGAATCTAGTTTTAAAAAATAATCTATTTGACTTTCAGCACATTAGTCAATAATATTTTTTCTTGTGTTTCTATATTCAGGCACTGGATCTGAACTTAAAACTTCTTTCATAAAAGCACAGATTACCCTGGCTTTTTGTCCAACATGGATTTATTGCCAGAAAACCACAGAGGACTGCTAACTTTGGAAGATGGCAATCTCTGTTTATCCCAAGAACTGGACGCTGGATGTAAAGTGACCATAAAACTTTGTCCCCTCACAAGCCGTAGTCTGCTCACATATTTCAACATATCCTTAAGAAAACTTGCATCAGCAGGTTAAAGAGACAGCTCAGGCTTTAGACCTATATAATCTTTGTCAATCTCATCAAAACAATCAACAGAAATGGCAGTAGCACAAGCTCACTCTTTCACCTGGGTGGGAATGATCTTGTTATCTGTGGTCAAATCACAGGCCACATGGTAACAGAGATTCATAAATCTACCAGGTCTGACTGACTGAAGATCCATTTTCCGAAACTTGCAGAGCATGAAAGAGCAAAAACAAAGCAATACCACTGATGCTCTTCCACCTAGGCACAGATGATTTTCTTCCTCCTAATGGAGTCCAGTTCACAAGGAAGTCATACAGATTTTTCATGTGTTATACCTTGATTCTAAGTTTTCTCTTTTAGCACGGAAAAGCGGAAGACAAAGATGGAAGTACAGGCAACAGCTCCTGAATCCCTTGCCACTGAAGGCTGTGTATTTATTATACAGCACAATGGGGACAACAAAATACCAAATCATTGACCTTATTGCTCAAAAAATGGGTATTGAAGAAGTGCATACTCACCTTCATAACCTTCTGTTCTTAAAAAGTTCTAATATCACAGTGATATTGAAGTGAGATTGGTAGGTCTCCCTTTCTCCCATTGTCTCCTTTTACATTTACAACCCAATAAATTAGAAGTGGCATTTACAGATGCCATTTGTGGTTCCAATGAAGTTTAACATTTTGAATCTTTGTTATTGTTTTAAAGCCCACAAATGATTGAAGATGGCAATTACCTTCCCTTTTGAGCTAGTCAGATTTTTCTTCCCACTTCCCACTTCAACTGTTCTACTACACAGAGCCATAAAATTCCCCAGAGTTCTTTAAACAAAATGCAGAAAAAAGAGGGGAGGAATTATCAGTGTCTGTTATCAGTGGAACAGGTGAGTGATGGTGAAGAGGAGAGGAAGAAGCCACATCTCTAAAGCACATAGAAATACGCATTGTAGAAGAAATAGAATGTTCTTTAACCACTGCTTTTAGGTTTGTGTGACTAGGGCAGGAAGGGGTGAACATGAGTATTTAGAATGTGCAGCTAGTCACAGATAGCTCCAGTGCCCACACCGGGACACTGAAAGTGCTTTCTTCTGCTAAACTGGGAGCACTGCCTTACCCATCGCTGGAATGCAGCTAATTGTATAATGCGATAGGTTTGTGCTTTGGTGCACAGCAAGGCTAATTTAAGCTTGAGCATGTAAGAGGAGCAACGTGGCCAAGGAAGTTCAAAGGCTTGCTCAAACCAAGAGATGGCCGTAGAACCAAGACAATAAAGAATACTATTTTCCTATTAAAACTCAATCAGTGGTATGGAATAGGGTACTGAAATATATGAATAGAGGTAACAAATGCAAACAGAATGCAGCAGTGTCACCCATTGGTAGTGGTATTGGTCTGTCTGAAGTGGGATAGTGCTGTCTGCTGACCTACATCTCATATTCTACTATTCTTCAGGCTTCCTTCCTCCACATATCCTTCGTTTCTCTCCTGAGATCAAACTGATAGTTTCAGATAGAACAGCTCAGCTGCCACCTTGTAATCTCCTCTGCTTCTGAGGAGAGAAGAGACTCACAAAGACCAACCACGCTTAGAGATTTTTCCTTCCTTAGAGAAAGGGGAGACAAGTGTGACTTTCAATAGCGACCAGAAGAACAGGAATCAGCAAGCAGCAGTCAAGATGTCAGATGAAGCTCTGGAGACGGCTGTGATTCAAAAAAACCAAATGCTTTCTGGTGACCTAATTCTCAGATGCTTGCTTGTTTGTTTTTGTTTTGTTTTAACTAGTCCTAAATATATTGCCAAAGAGAATGATTTCCTCTTCAGCAGTTTCTTAGGTACTGGGCAGGGATCATTCAGGAAAACTGCACAGGTGCTGCTTTGCAAGATCAAGTTCTTCCAAACACAGAGTAAGGGCCATCATTGACTTCGACATCTACTTTTTACATCTGTCTCCAACTTTGAATCTTGTTTGAATTGCTTTAGACGGGAAGGTATTAACCTTCACATTGCTGACACTTCCGATACTGAACCAATCTCAACATTCAGGCAACAACTATGCTGGTACCAGATCAACACATAAGGCGCCACAGTACATGTTTTGGGAGTGGCACCAACATTACATGATCTCAGTAATAAGACACTAAATCAAGGAACTACACTGGGTACAGTCTCCTGGGAAAGCATCATGACTCTGTTCCTGGGCCAGACACAGAACAATAGGTTAGACTAAAGAGAGGTGCTCTGAAGAAGAGCTAGTAGAGATAATGTGCAGGCTATAAGACAACAGATTAAGCTGACTTTAAACAGAATTACTAAAAATCATTAACATTAAACAGCAGCTTCCAGTGCACTGAGAATAAAAACTAAAACAATACTTTCAAAGAACCCCAAAGCTTTTTTTTTTCTTGAGCCTTTTAAACAACACAGAAAAGGTGCACTTTGGGCATTTTGGCTCTGACACAAATGGGCAAAGTCACAAGTTCTGTTATGCTATGCTTACTCCCACAAGAAAAAAACATGCTTAACTGACACTATTAAATACAGCAAAAAGACAAGAAAAAAGAACAGCCTACAGTTGTGCAGCACTTACTATTGCTTTGAAATTGGAGTTCACATTCAGTGAGCTCCTTGACAGGACACAAGATTCTCACAAAACAGAGTATTATTATGAGAGTGTGGAAGGACATCCCAGTCAACCAGAACACTGGGAGACAAGGAAGAGATCAGATTTAACTGGACAGCTATTGTGGTGTTTCATGAATACTCCAAGATAGCACTAAGATGATACTTCCAATCCTAAGAAGACACAGTCTCAACACGCAGTAAGACTTCAGCGTGATGTAACCCTTAATCTTAGCATGGTAGGGAAATATTATCAAGGAGTAATTTAAGTTTGCAAAGTCCTGTCTTGAAACATCACTTTGGGACATAGCTCTTAGCAAACATGCATAGCAGACAACTTTACTGACAAAACTATCTTCCTCTAGAGACTGGTAGTCAACACAGCAGACTGGTATTCAGTGGAGCTAGACATCATGGTGATTTTCATTTAACCCAGCAAGAAAAACAATGAGTTTTTTGACAGTAAGTATCCCAAGTGCTCTGGGAATTGATGCCATATGCACGTTACTGAGTCAGTGCTGCTGATGTCAATATTCTTTTAATTAATGGGAGCTTAGCTTGAACAGAAAATTATTTAAAGTAGCTTCAAGAAATCACTACTGTTTACATGCTTCAAAAAGTCACTCATCCCATTTGTTTCTAAACTGGTTGGAAAAGAGAAACTGCAGAAGAGCAAGGTTTTCCAGACAGCAGAGACAATGCTCTCAGTGCTTTCTTCGGAGGCCCACCTCCTCAAAAAGGAACTCCTGTTCTGGTCCAGTGTTCATCCTTGTGTTCCTTTTATTCTCCAGTTTCCCCTGCCTCTACTTGGTGGCCTTTAAAATACTTACGTCTGCAGATCTGAAAAAAAGGGACTCTCTGAAGCACAAATGAATTGAAGGTTCAGAGAAGTACTAGTAAATAGTAATCCATCCCAGCACCATCCTTCCCCCTACTGGGAGTACCACCTCCTAGAGAATGGAGTATGCAAGAGAACAGCTGCTAAATCGCTCACAGAAGCTAGCTATCCTTAAGCTGCATTTGGAAAGCCCAAATGTAGTGAAAGCAAATTAATGAAATGGGCAGAAATGTGGACAAGTAGATGCACAGGGGACAGCAACAGGGAGTGCTTGAGAGGAGAACTTATCTGGAATCAATTTTACCTTCACATCCACGCTCAATCTGCCCACTGCGGTGCAGAGCGTCATTGATTAGATCAGGCAGACGCCCGTTCAAGTCCACAGATGCTAGACAGCCCTGAAATCCATCACGTGAGGCCACTAGCTTTGGAAGGTTGCTATACATGCCTTGAGCTAGGCCAGCAATGTAGAGATCACCTAGAAGAGAAAGGGATAAACATACAAGAGTGAGGAAGTTATATACCTTCTAGAGTGGCTTTCCCTGCCTCCCCAATGCGAATATACCAAGCAGAACAGATACTCAGAAAACACTAAAAGCAGTGCAAGGTATCATGCAAGAAGTCACTTCTGCCTCTTTTACTACAAATAAGAACACCCAAACCCACCAAACCCTTTCTCCCACCTTAAAAAAAAAACAATTGTTATTGCATCCTATCCAGGAAAAACTGTAATATGACAAACAATTTCTGAAAAAGCAAAGTATGACAAATTGTTCTGCTACAGGAAGTTGCCAAAGAGAGAGAGAGAAAAATGAAACTGAAAGCCAAAAGTCAGAAAATTCCAGATTTACTGTTCTGTAATGCATGGTTCCTGAAATCTTTCTCCTGTTTACTGGCTGAGCCCCCAGGAATAAAGCTGAGGAAACTGTCAGTCTTGTAGAATTTACCTTTAAGATCCAGGTTTTTGGCACCATTGATAACCTGAGTCACCACTTTAGTGTCCACTTTTAGGCTATGTGTGTTACTGTTATCTCTGGTGATGACAACATTGTGCCATTGGTTGTCATTAAGAGGACGATCACTGTTGCCTTTGATAACATTAGGTCCATTTCCAAGATCAAACACGTAGTGTATATACCTGTAAGCACAGCAAGAACTAGTTAAAATTGTGCCATAACTCTAAAGCTACTCACCCTTATTCTAAAGTGGATAAATTGACTAAAAGTCACAAAACGAAGTATCTCTATCTCTGGGCTAGAAAGTTCTAGTAAGCGGAAGTATTAGCCACTGATCTGAAAATATATAGAATCATAGAATGCACTGGTTTGGAATGGACCCTCAAAGGTCATCTAGTCCAATCCCCTTGCAGTGAGTAGGAATCTCTTTAACTAGATCAAGTTGCTCAGAGCCCCATCAAGCCTGACCTTGAGTCTCCCCAGGGATGGGGCCTCCATCATCTCTCTGGGCAACCTGTTCCAGTATTTCACCACCTTCATAGTAAAGAACTTTTTCCTGATATCTAGTCTAAATCTACTCTGCTCTAGTTTAATACCACTATCCCCCCTCCTTTCACTACACACACCCTTGTAAACAGTTCCTCCCCAGCTTCCTTGTAGGCCTCCTTCAGGTACTTGAAGGTCACTATAAGGTCTCCCCAGAGCCTTCTCCTCTCCAGGCTGAACAACCCCAACTCTCTCAGCCTGCCCTAATAGGAGAGACGTTCCAGTCCTCTAATCATCTTTGTGACCCTCCTCTGGACCTGCTCCAACAGGTCTATGTCCTTCTTGGGTTGAGAGCTCCAGACCTGGACACAGTACTCCCTGTGAGGTCTTAAAGTTGTTCGCTTTCCACCAAGGAAGTGTAAGGATTAGTGCTTTGAAATAACACATCTGGAGTAATTAGATTCTAACCATAAAGCAATCTGCTCTCACAAAGTTCTTGCTGATCCAAAAACCCCTGCTTGTGCATATGATTAGTTTTTAAAATTGGTAATATTGATAAACGTACCGGAGAGCAACACTATATATGCTTATTTGGGGCATTCTGAGTTTCAAATAACTTCCTTAAGAAGTTAATTGGGAAACTCACCCAAAATATTGTATTAAAATTCACATGAGATCCCCAGGCTTATTCAAACAGCTGGAAAACAATTAGCAAAGCGTTTAGCAAAAAAAAAATAAAGACCCTAATGAAGCCTGAAGTCATGGGAGTGTTACTGTTAATTATTTATATAGCTGAAACACAGAAATCCACCTGAGCGCAGAAGAAAAATATTCTATTTAGAAAGGAAAAAAACAAAGAGAACAAAATTAAATTCTCAGAGAACCAGGATCTTGTGACTCTTGCTATTTTAATTACTTAGTGACCCACTTACAGAAATATGTGCAAAGCTAAAAACAAAACAGACTGAACAATAGTTATGCTGAAATAAACAAGACCAGTAAACTGCATTTGTGGAAAGCATGTCTACCCTGACCTGATGAATGTAAATGATCAAGATTTGTCCACCTAAAAAAGGATTCTTTTTAAATCAGCCATTGGTCTTGGAAAAAAAGAATATAGCATCTCAAAAGCAAGCTGAGCTTGCTTTTCTTCAAGCATCACCAGCAGAAACACAAATTCAGCAACCCATATGCTCTTTTTTCCTTCAGTAGAGATGGCAGACACACACCAAGTCTCATACAGGAGAAAAAAAATAAATAAAGAGAGGAACAGAGGCTTAGAGCCCTTAACACACTTCCTCCTCCTCTGTGCTATTCTGCAAGGTTAACAGTGCAAAACGTTGGTTTAACTAGACCCAAAAGACTTAAAATGTTAGTGTTCAACACTGTAAAATATCTTTCCCTCAGCCACAGGGGGAAACCAGTGATGAAATCAACAGTGTTAAGCTACAGTATTTAGACATAAAGTGCTTTGTCATACACCTCAGCAAACAGAGAAAACATTAATTTCTCTTTTTGTGAGCATTTTAAGCCTAGCTAGAAGTAAGTTTATCTATAAACAAGCTAATAGAATATAGCAGAAAACCACTTACCCCTTGACTAGTTCAACTGCAATAAAGTCATTGCCATCACCACTATTAAAGAGGATGAAACCATCAGCTGAGGTGGTCTTGAACTGAAAGAAGAGGTGCATGGATGTATAAGCCTGCAAGGTGGCCAAGCTCAGGTAGCTGCTCTTGGTCTTGAACGTCACAGGGTCAGCTATAATGTTGCGGAGACCAAAGCGTGCCTTCAGCTCGCAATAGTCAATGTCGCCATTCTTGCACAGGTCAATGTAGAGCATCCCATTGAACATAAGGCTCTGGAGGTGGCCAATGAAGCTGGAGGGGATGACTGAGATGTACCGCTTCTCTGTCATGATTCCTGTCTCAATGTTGTGGAATTCCAGACGGGTGTGATCACCAACCATCGTGCCTGAAGGCCAGAAACAAAAAGGAACATGAAAAAGCCCAAGGATCAGTAACAGGTTATATGAAGCCCTACATCCTCCAGTTTCCAGACTAATAGCAATACTAACTTAATGCTATCTGATCACTATTCAGTAGCTTGCATAAGAAAAAAAAAATGAGTCTTCGTGGAGAAGCTTTAGTCTAGCAGTTGCCAACACCTGGCAGAAGAGCAAAGACAGGACTAAAGGACTATGGGCAGCAAGTTCTCTATTTCACCTTGTGCTTCAAAGACCTTGTCTGTGAAGGCTAGGTCTCTCCCCTAAAATATGCAGTGATCTATCTGATCCAACAGTTCTTCTGCCAAACAACTCAAACGCTTCTAAAACAACTCTTAGAAATTCGCTTCCTGAAAACACTCAATAAAGACAGATTAATAAAACAGAGCAGAACGAAAGTGAGAAGTCATAAACCTGCTAATATTTATTCCATTGTTCTCTCCTGGTGCCTCACATTATTTCTCTCATTAAAAGAGCACAGCTGGATGGAAACAACAAAAATGTAACAGGCAAAAAAGTCATCCATATACTTAAATCATCAACCTACCACTTGGACTATTTTTCACGTTGTGACAGATTGTAACCTCTCTGTACTAAAAGGTACAAAGTACAAAGACAGGTTGAGCAACATCAAAATGAAAATCATTAAAACCAACCTTATTTTAGTCCTGTTTTAACTATTTAGTCACACAAGTAAGTATCCTTCCTACACAGGCCTTGTGCCATTTAGTACATAACAGGAATAATATTAAATTCACTGATTATTCAGCACTTGTTTTCTCATCATTCAGTGTACAACCATTATTCAAATTCTGCTACAAACACGTCATTATTTTTTTCTCCCGTGAAATTTTTCTGCAGTGTTGTACTGAGTTTACATAGCGAGGTGCCAGCTGAGGGGTGGCCTCTGTGAGGAAGGGCCAGAGCTGCCCCGTGCCAGACCCAGTTGGTTCCACAACAGACCCCGCAGTGCCCCTCGCACTACATGGTGACACCTTGGGGAAGTTGTGTTTATCAAAGGGCAAAATGCTGCCCAATAACCAAGAGGAAAACAAACCAAGACAAAACCCGTAAGAAAACTCACATCAACCACAAAAAAAAAAAAAACACCTAAACTCAAAACCTGCGAAGACCAGGGTCAGAAAAAGAGGAGGGAGAGGAGGTGCTCCAGGTGCCAAAGTGGAAATTCTCCAGCAGCCCACAGAGACAACCATGACTGTAGAGACGCCCACGCTGCAGCCCCTGGAGGAGCTCCATGTCAGAGCAGGTGGATATTTCCTGAAATATCCACCACAGAAAGCCCACACCAGAGCAGGTTTTCTTGACAGCCTGTGGAGAGCTCCCACGCTGGAGCAGGAGAAAAGTGCAAGGAGAAAGGAGCGGCAGAGAAGAGCTGTTAGAGACTGACCACAGCCACCCCCTGCACCGCTGGGCTGGGGGGAGTAAGAATCAGAAATGAAGGAGCAAACCTGAGGAACAGAGCGGTAGGAGAGGCTGTTTTCCTTTTTGTCTTTGTTTCTCACCATGTAACTCTTTTTAATTGGCAATAAATTAAATTAATTTTCCCAAGTCAAGTCTGTTTTGTCCATGAAGGTAAGAGATTTCCCTATCTATAGCTTGAACTATGAGCCTTCTCATCCTATTATTTTTTCCCCTGTCCTACTGAGGAAAGGGAGCGAGAGTGCAGCTGTGTGGGTGTCTGGCATCCAGCCATGGTCAAAACATAAGTTCAGCAGCACAGTGTGCAAATTATCCTCAAATATTCACTTCATCTTCTACACTCCCGCAAAGTTAAGGAATATTACTTTCAATTTCATATACACAAAGCTGAGGAACAGAAAGATCCACATACAGATACTTTCGGGTCACAAAAAAAGAGAAGGATTTGGCATCCAGTTTAGTGGAATATGCAACAGCTCAAAACTACTGGTTTTGAGGCTCAGCACTCCAAGAAATCAGATCCACAATTCCAGATGAGTACCTCCCAAAAGGACAGGTACAATCAAGGATGAGCTGTGAAAGATCTGACTTCAGGTGACTTATCCAGCTCTCCATAGGAAATTTAAGGCAGAGAAGTCAATTTCGATGGGCTGTATTCACATACCCCATAGAGGTCCCTTCCCTCTTTTTCTACCTTGCTATATCTCATTCACTGCAGACATTTCATATGGGATCTTAAAAATAAGCCCCTCCCTTAACACAAAGGCCTATGTTAAGCCATTTACTGTATTGTCTGTCCTTAACATAAGCAAGAAAGAAAAGATTCTGTGGAAAAAGGACAGCAGCAAATACGAAATTAGACAACATCAATAAGCATACGCAGACCTATCTACATGCAGTTTTTCCCTACTTTTGCATGCTTCTCTCCTTAACTTCCTAGTATATTGCTAACAATTTCTGCACAGGTAAAGTCCTTGATTTCAGAAGGTTGTCCAAAGGAAGCAGCCACAGCACACCTGCTGGTCCCTCTGCCTTCAATAACATTTTAACATGCTGGTCAAAGTCAAGTTTGAAAGAATAGAAGGATCAAAAAATATTTAAATTCATACTAGCTTTGTGAAAAATGGACACCCAAATGTTTCTGATGTGCTATAGACAGAAAAAACCTAGCAGTAATATCCTGCATGACAGCATCTGCTGGTCAGTTAGGATATATACAAAACTCTTAACTAATCTCTGCAAGGGGTATTTCTGAATCACTGGGATTATACCCGAGTCACACTGATCAACACAGCTGAGTCCTGGAAAAACTTCTCTTAATTCCCCCAGGTCGTATCAGCTAGGACTTAAAGGCTTTCTCATACTATGTACTGTCTCCTGGCATTTCTCACCTAAACTGTTCCCAGGTGTTAAAAGAAAAAGATAGATAGACAGACTGACCAACCAACCGACTTTTCAAGACTTTTCCTACTATTTGCAACATACTCTTTTTTTTTCCTTGTTTGGAATAGAATGAAAGATGAAAATACTTAAGGCACTTGAACGATACATCCTAACATTTTGTGATTCTGTGTGATCCTGGCTTATGTTGTATAAAGAGTCAGATTAAATGAACTGATAATCTCTTTCTTGCTTAGGTCCTTTTGAAACATTGAAATATTCCTAATTCACCTCTAATGATCATGTAAAAAATGCAAGTTTTCAGTTCATACTTTGTCCAAACGTCATCAAGTTTTTGCAAAGACAGCAAACAAGTACAGTTGTTATTAGAAAAAAAAAAGTTTTTAAGTCTCTATTACAAATATGAAGAAATAATATGAAAAATAATTTTTTCCCACTTATTCTCAATTTTAGCAGTGGATCTTAATGTATACAGAGACTATTGACATAGGAAGCTTCAACCCAAGCAGATACAGCTGGACAAACTTCGAAGCAGCTGAAAACATATTTTTGACTGTTCAGAAATTCAAGTGTCAGTATCAATGCAAATGTTTTTAAATCCTGAAACAGTTCTTTACCAGAAACCATAATATTTTAGTTTGAAAAATGACAGTTCACAGGAACATAAATTGTATATGAGAAAGTTTGTTTAGACAAACTATCTCACTTCCACTACTGTGTTTGTTAGGGTCTGTTTCAAGTTTAGTGTTAACATGTTAAGGTCTGTTTCAGCTTTAGTGTTAACAAATGAATTTTCTCTAACTTTTCCAAACCAGATGAATGTTATTTTTGTAAAAACAAAATAAAATAAAATAAAAAATCCTGCTGTTTTACTTCAAAACATTAGGGGGGAAAAAAAAAGTTGACATGTCAGGATCCAAGAGCAAGAAAACTCCTCACCTTAGCTCTTTTTCTCTTAGATTATTGCAAATAATGCAGTTTTGCCGAAGCAGGAAAGGATAGCTAGGCCTGTGAAATCTGGAGTATACTGGGACAGGGAGTAGTTCAGTGACAAAAAATTAGGAGTAGTTCAGTGAAAAGCTGAAAAGGACCTGACAATACAAGACCAGAATCAGGACAGAAATGCATTTTCTTAAGAAATCACGGAGTGACATCCAGTATTTTCTGATCTCATCAGCTGTGACCCTCGCCTGCAGAGTTCTCCTCTAATTCCTCCACTGTGCAATGTAGAGTGTTGTAGCTATTACAGCAATCAGCAGCTCTTTAGCTCAAGTGATAGCAGACAGAAAAATTGCAGCCTCCACCCTGGTATTTGGGTGCGAGCGAGATGTTGCAGGGAGGACTATGACTGCTATATTTGTGTCTCATTTGTCACTGATGTTCTGAGGTCTGTTCTGGGGTAGGGGTAGAATGTGGGAGAAGAGTTTTGTGATGAAGCAGCAAACTGCTGTCCAGAGGAACTGAATTCTGTCTCGGATGTCCTGCAGGAAGCCAAGTCAGTCACTTCATTACACGTTTTGCACAGGTGGTCTTTGTCTAGACTAAGTAGCAGGGTTGAGCTAATTTACAGGATCCAATTTACAGACATGAGCATTTGTGCATGCAAATGACTCAAAAATCACGCCAAATTGGTACCAAATACATCCAACTTGAATCTGGTGCCTTGTTTCCAAACCCCTAAAATGGAAAAAAGACACTACTCCACATAACATAGACATAGGAACAAATCCAGTTACAGCTTCTTAGTTCTGTATAAACATATTGATGAGTAGCACACAACACACACAGAAAAAGGGAAAAGCAGCAGCTCTATATTTAGAGCAAAATTTGGTTGGCATGTGTTGTTCTAAACAAGTAATAAGAAGGAATTTGGCAATCGAATAGGCTGTTTACTTTTACTGAGGGCCCAATTTAGACTTTTGATCTATGCCTAAAGACAGCAAGAATCCTGTGGAAAAAAATCTATGTGACCACATCATTAAAGACTATATCATCTGCCCAAGGAAGTGGGATGCAGATTGCTCAGAAAATCTTAACTCTCACTTTTCTGACTTTTGACTTAGCCATGATGGCCTTCTTTTAACAGATATTTTTAGCTGTAACGTATCTTTAGTTATGTAATTCATATACATGTGCATATGCACATCCTATTTTAGTATAGGATTGTATCATTATTATTTATAAACTCAGTTTCACGAAAAAGAGACTTCAAAAAAAACAGATGGCATTTTGAGGACTGAGCTGGTAATGCAGAGAGAGTGCCACCTCGTGGTGCTTGCTAAAAAAGCATATCCAGAACCGTTCTTAAATGCAGAAGCAAACGGGATGAAATGTTTACAAGCACATTTCACTAATTCGACAACTTCCCTCTTTAAAAGAATTTTCGTTTTTCTACAAGATAATGTTGACTAAGCCTCTGCCAAGTCGAACAAGGAGGGAAGATTATTCTTTCATATACTTCAGAAGGAAAATGTCTATCAAGTAATTTTCCTGCAAACCTACTTTTTGAGGCTTATTTCAAAATCCCAACTCATGGCTTTCCAAACAATCTAATTACCACATTACTTTAAATTAATTGCATTCAAAGAGTAGAAAAGAACTTTTTGCAGGGATAGGATACAGTATTCTGGCACTGCCCACAGCAGCCATTCCTTCTAGTTGTCTTTTAAGTGGAACTTACTCTGAAGAGAGGATGTCAGCATTTGGTGAAACAGCATGGGTCACAACTAAATGAACATGTCCATATCAATGGTGCACCTAGGGTTACTGTTCTTTGTGATTCTATTATCAGCCTTCAGAATGCTGGTGTTTTCCTCAAAGAAACACCCAGTTCCTACAGTTATATACAGCTATGAGAATTTTAGACCTTCAAAAAAAGAAAAATAAGAAAAATAAGAAAAAAGGAAAAATAAGTTTCTAGGTCTTGCAGTTGTGGGAAAGTGGACTAGAAAAGTATCAACTCTAAAATTTTGTAATGAATAAAGGTCAATCTAAAGTACCTTGGATCACTTCAATGCAAATCTCATACTCAGGGAGACATCAGCTTTCCTGAGCATTGATCTTCTACTACATTTCTCTATCAAAAGAAGTAGGAGCATAAAACCCACAGGAAATACAGAAAAGTTAAAAAAAGAAAAAGAACAACAACAAAGGACTGGCGCACTCTATATGTTATAATATACTCTGGTAAGTTAGGGTCCTCCCTAACCTCTAAACGCAAGTTAGAAAAAAAATGCTCTATAAACTGCTATATTTGGTGGGGTTTTCTGGATGGCTTTGAGCTGTAAGCATAGGAACTTGAGGGTGAAAAAAACCAACACAAAAACAACCCCAAAAAACAACACACAAAAACACCTGAACAAATACTGAAGAGACCGAAATCCATATTCTCTAACAAATCTATCAAGTGCAGGTTTACCATCACTAGAAAAATTTGTGCAGAAGAAAGGTTGAGAGAGCCTCAGTTTTGATTCCACAGCATTGGGAACTGCTACATTTGCAGCTCAGGAACGAGGTACACTCACAGCATACCCCAAACAGAGCCTGGCACTAGAAAAAGCACTGCTTAGCACCTGTGCACTCCTGAGTATGTACAAGCTCATCTGGTCCCCAGTCACACATTTCATATCAGAATTTTCTGATGTCACAGAATTTTCTGATGTCAGCTAAGAACAGTTAGTCTCTTGGAACTGAACATTAGTTTTCAACAGAGTATTTTCAACACTAAATATATAAGAAGTAACAGGAAGGGAGAGAAAAAAAAGTATACAGGCAAGAGCAGGGAGAATTGGTGTAACAATGAAGAAGAGACTGGGAACAGAAATACAAAGGTAATGAATGACAAGAGAAACTTCATACATCACACTTACCCTCAGCAACATCATCATCCACCATCAGCTTGAGGCTCTTTCCTCGACGAACTACTCGGACAGTGTGCCACTCGTTGTCATTGAGTTTCTGCCCAGCATAAAGAGTTTCGGGTCCCTTGCCTGGGGATGGTGATAGGTACAACAGTTAAAGTCAAAGTCCCAATTAATGTAGCATTTGCTCAATGGGAAAAGTCACCAAAATCAACCTGGTGTGATACAGATTATAACCTGTAACCAATCCCCACACCTACACCTTTCTAGATCAGAGGGAAGTCAGGGGCACAAATTCTTCCACTTGGTGAAGTGCATTCCTCAGCAGAGCCCAGAGGTCATGTGCATTTAAAACAGGGGTAGAAATCTCTCTTGTGCTACGGTATTAATTTCCAAATGCCACACTGTACAGGGCACTGCAGTATTAGAAAAACAAGCTGGTGGCAGAAAGGTCCATAGAGTGGAGCAATGACAGCAGATTTTTGCTCTCCTAGGAATCTGGATTTACAACAGTCTCAAGGTGTGTGGCACTCTTTTCAAGGCTGACCACACTGGTCTATCAATACTTAAGTATGGAACACCAGGCTGGTTTCAGTCTTATTCACAAAAAAATTCCCCCCAAACAAAAAAGAAATACAAAAAAAATAAACAAAACAAACGCCCCCTCAACCTCAAACTCCACCCCACCATTTTTAAAATTTTTTTTAAATTTAACTTAAAGCTACAGAAGGACAACCACTCACCAAGCTGGCTGATTGCTCTAAGGTTCTTTGGCAAAGCAGCCTGGCTATAAGGTGCTTACTTCACACCCTGAATTACAGATCACAAGCAAAGGAGGAGCCCTTTCTTCTCCAAAAGGTAAAACCACAGTTACCCTTGCAAACAATGCTCCTGGGAAAACAGCGTTAGTGCTGCCCATACTCGTCCAGTTTTGATGTTCACCCATCACAGCTGAAACATTAGATCTTCAGATTACAGTACTGGAACCCCTCACTCATGTCAAATAAGTGAAACTGAATAACGGTGTGTGCTAAATTAAAAGCATCTATGCTAATTTCAGTACAGTACTGGAGAGTTTTTTGACAGAGGTGTATCAGAGAAATGAAAAATTAGGACAGCAAAATTTGTTGTACACCAGGTCCGGGCCCATTGCCCAAACTGGCAAAAGGGGAACCCAAGAGAGAAAGACCAAGACACATTAAACATGTTAAAAGATACAGGACAGGGCACTGCTACAGTTCAGCTTATTGCACTAGTAAAAATAATGTCAGATACATTGATTTTTTTCTCTGTGTTTGTTCAACACAAGCAAAACTATCTTTTTATTCAGAGAGCCCACGAACAGCATTTCTTTTGCCCAGTCTTCAACAGACTAGTTATGAAACACAGAATAAAATGTTGTACGCATCTTCAAGCAAAATTCTGCACAAGGGGATGCACCCACTCTGATCTGTGCGATGGTGTGAACTAACAAGTACAAGCAGCATATTTCATAGCAAGATAGAATTGAAGGAAGGGGTAGGAAAATATTCAGGGGCTTTACATAGTCCATAGTATGCACACTGGCCAATTATCAACACTGCTGTAACTGCTTCTTACTGAGGGGGAACATGGGCAAAGAAGGTGGCGTCTCATTCATCTAGGATATAATGTGTGGTAGGGGAATCCTATGGAAGGAGACCAAAGAAAAATGAATATGCTGTTATTTTCCTTAAAGGGTCATATGGTTCACGTTAATTAAAAAGGAGTTTAAATACTCTTTCAGGGAAAGCCCACTGCAAGTTGATTTTATGAAGAGGAAAAAAAAAAAAAAATCCTACAGTGACCTAAAAAAATAAGAGTCATTCTTGGATTACAAGGATGGAAAGCCATGTATTGCAGTTACAGAGAGTATCTCCTGAACAGGAGAAATCCATAACGTTTGCACTCATGTGCCAAAGTCACACAGTACCATAAAAGTAAATCCAGCTGTACAAGGCAGATAGATCACGGCCAGAAAGCCTAAGATCTTCAGAAACATACAAGCAAAAATCTATTACATAGAGTCTAAGAAAGTTACTCTACATGTACATCAGTAAGCAAGTACTTTTTATCCCAGAGCACACAGCACAAAATTATGTCTCTGGATGGACAGCAAAATTATTGCCTACATCAAAATATACTGCATCAGTTACTGTAGTTCCATACAGCCACTTCCCACAAAGGAAGATGCAGCAGCTCACCTGAACCTGTGTTTTCTGTATAACACCACCTGAAAGTATGGGGCAGGGGGAGGGGGGCAGTAAACGCTTTTAAAAAAAAACCAAACAACCAAACCCAAACAACTTTTCAACAGGTCTAGAGCTATGGAGGGCTCAACCAAGAGAAATAGTCAGGTGTGCTGACTTTTCTCAGCTGACAATAAAACATTTTCCATGCAAGTAACTCTCTGTTCAACATGGCTGAGTGCTGACTTCCAGTTCCTACTTTCCAACCTCAGCTGGACAAAACAGGGGTCAGCCAAAATGAGCTGATGTGGTTTGTCATTGCTATCTTGATGTCCACTGCAACAAATTCAAAATAAAGCTGTGACACCAACAGAAGTTACCTGACTAGATTCTCAAAAAAATGTAGCTTAAGCAATTCACAAATGAGTAGAAAGTGTCAGCTTTCCATCTTAATAAGGTTGTCTACAAATTAGATTTTTAAAAGTAACTGGTTAATAGCTTGGGCTTAATTTGAAAACTAAGCGCTGCAGATGCAAAATTATTCCATGTTGTCTAAATTCAGCTCTTGATCAGGCAATTTAGTACTTTACCAGTAGAAAAAAATAATTAGGAGTTTAATACTTTTGTTCACTTGCAAACCTCCATTCTGCATGCAACAGTGAGCATTGGCTTATTTTGGTACGATTACCCAAATAACACTACACACAAAAACTGAATACACGAGCATGCTCAAGGGCATTCAGGTAAGTTTTTCAAACCAGACATATTTGAGTTTAATAAATAGAAGTGTTGATCAAACATTATTTTATTCTATTTAAACTGTTTTCTTTTCAAACGTTTTCAAGACGTTTACACAGCAGGTAGATTGACCTGAAAAGCAGCAAAACTGTGGCTCCATTTCCAATTTGCACACTGCCAGCTGAATTGCTGCTCCCTGTATAAGCTCCCACTGAACTCCCAGTGGTTCCAGGAACTGTGTACAGAGGGACTCCCACATCTGGATACTAAACTTCATTTCCTTGAACATGACGACTACATGTGCTGTTACTATATAGATATTTATGTGTGATCAATTTTTAAAAGATAACATGCAGATACTATGAAGAATAGAAGGCAAATGGGCCAGAAGCAGCAGACAGATAACACTCTCCTCAAGTACCATTACCTACCCAGTAAGGCATTTCTGTGGTCTTACAGTTTATCACACAGAACCAAGTGTTTAGACCAAAGTTCGTGGGGGTTTTGTAGGATTTTTTTTCTCCTCCTTTCAAGCCACCTGCACCTACATCACCCTTCAGCTAGACTGTATAGGGTTGCCTGGCCAGATATGGTTAGTGGTGAAGGAGAGGCTGTAGGGACAGCCTCTGCACCAGAAGCTTCCCCAGGTCTGATAGAGTCAATGCCAGCCAGCTTCAAAGATGGACCTGCTGCTGTCCAACGCTGAGCCTGTCAGTGACGACAGGATAGGAACATCTCTGTGAAAACATATTTAAGAAATGGAGAAAAAAGAACTGCGCCACACATCAACTGGCAGAGAGAGAGGAGTGAAGACACCAAGGAGTGAAGACACCAAGTGAATAAGGGGGGAAGGATGGGAAGGATGTGCTCCAAGCACTAGAGCAGAGGTTCTCCTGGGTCACAGCGAAGGCCATGGTGAGGTAGGCTCTCCCCCTGCAGGTGATAGAGCGTAGGTGTCCACCTGTGGAGGACACCATGCCAGAGCGAGTGGATGCCTGAAGGGGACTGCGACCCTGTGGGAAGCCTGCATTGAAGCAGGCTTCTGCCAGGACCTGTAGCCTGTGAAGAGAGAGGAGACCACAATGGAGCAGGTTTGCTGACAGGATTTTTGTGATGCCACAGGGCACTCACTGGAGGAGTGTCTCCCTGTAGGACTGCATCCCATGGAGAGACTCAGCTTTGAGCAGTTTGTATCTTGTGAGAGGACTTGCATTGCAGAAAGTCTGCGAAGATGATCTCCTGGGAGAGGGACCCCACAATGGCTGAGGGGAAGAGAGAGGAGTCCTCTCCTGAAGGGCAGAGCAGTGGAGATAAAAATCAAACAAACCGATCACAACCCCCATTCCCCACTCCCTGTGCCGCTCAGAGGGAGGAGGAGAATAAGCCCAGGAAAAAGGGAGGGGCAGGGGGAAGGTGTTATTTTTAAGACCTGTTTTTACTTCTCATTACTGTTCTCTGATTTTGATTGTTAATAAATTTAACTCATTTTCCCAACATTGAGTCTGTTTTGTCCAAGATGGTAGCTATGGCTGATCTCCCTGTCCTTATCTCAAACCATAGGCCATTCGTTATGTTTTCTCCCCCCATGTAGCCGAGAAGGGGAAGTGATAGAGCAGCTGTGGTGGGCACCTGGCCACCAGCCAGGGTCAAACCACTACATAGGGTAGCCCAGATGTAGGAGGAATCAACACAGAATATTAGCTGGACAGGAAAAAAAAAAAAGTCGAAGTTTTGTATCTTCCCTTTGTGTGACAGTTTCTTATGATAAAAGACAAGGAAGGAAAAGGAGCTCTTGCAATGTTACACGCTGGATGCCTAGAAACACCCTATCTGTAATACTTTTGATGAGAGGGCAGTTGGGTATTAGGTAATTTTTGCAATTTATTTAATTTTTCTAAGTGAAAACAGTAAAAGACAACATTCATTCCATTCCCCTTCCTAATGTCCTCTAAAGAACTGTGAATCATACAATTGATCACTGTCTCTCCTTTTAAGCTCAAATGAGGCAGATCAGTATGTATTCCTGTGGTACTTTGCAGTAGCAAACAGTACTTAGAAGCAAAAATACCTCTCTTGGGCATCACCATATTCTGGACATTAGTCAAACTGCAATTCTGGCTTCTTGAGCAACCATGACTTGATTCAGCTGCAGCAACTTCTCTTCATGTTCCTGCGAATCCTTTG